TAATGTTAAAATACATGGAATTTAAATAAATCATGCCTCGGTCAAGGATCTTGAATTTTGCGATATCACTTATTATGAAATTTTAGATTCAGTCTTATACCGGTCAGAGTGTTGCTCAACCCTAACAACTAACATCAAAATTAAAAAAAAAAGCATTGATTTTGAAAAAACAACATAAACACAACACATAATTGGCATTGGAGATTCAAAAACAATGCTACTTTCAAGAATAAAATTGTTGAGTACACGTAAGCAAAAATGTGGATAAAATTTGATGGAAGGAATCAGCAAAAAGACAAGTGTGTACTCAAGAAGAAGAAGAAGAAGAAGAATTTAAAAATAATAAAAATAAATAAATAAAAGTGATTCAAAATTGTGGAAAATTGCTTGGAAATTTGTGGATATCTTATTCTAGATTTTGAACCAATTAAAAAGCCCCTTTTTTTTCTCCTCCTCTTATTTGATGAGTGATACACATTAAAGAGGATTTATTGAAAAGTACAAAAATTTGTGACAATAAACACCTGCTCTTATCTCTTCCTCTCATTTATTCAATTATTTATTTTGTAACCTTTCAAAAAGAAAAATGGCCCACACCCATTATTTTGTACGTCTAAATTAAATATTGTCTGAGATTTTTTTTTTATTCAAACTATTGTATATTTTTCCTGTGACTAATGATTGTGTGTTATTTGTTTGTGTGCAATTCGATGGATTTGTGGCAAAAGTATTCCATTGGTTCAGATTTCTTTATTAGTTAACTGAAATTGAGACAAAATTTAAAAAATTAAAAAAAAAATTACTTCTATCTAAAAAGCTCGCACGGTTTGAAGCAACTAAATTTTCTTACGAATCAGTATGATACTTATTAGGTCATAAAAATAAAAATAAGAAAAAAAATCAGTCTAGTTTATGATTAATCTTTAATAATACACCAATATCAATCTATTTTTTTCTATTTATTCCAGACAAAGGTTCCACAATAGAGAACAAAATGTGAATTAAAAAAATTATTCTATATATATATATATATATATATATATATATAAATTTCTCATTATATGCAATGAGTATGAGTTGGTTTTTTTTTTAATAGCACGTTGTAAGTTCTATTCTTCAACTTTCAAAATTTAGTTTTATTTTTAAAAATTTCTAACGTATCCTTTTTTTTAAATAATAGAAATTTTTTTTGTCAATTTCAAAAAGTTAACTTTTGAATAGCAAAATGATTCCTTGTTGGGTAGTTTTTAAAGAAATCATTTTCCAAAACATGACTTTTGAAAAGTATAAAGCAACCACGTTTTACATGATAAAGCAGGAAAACTAAAATTTAACTTAAAATTTACAGAAATATCATCAGTAATAATATTTCACTATTTAAAAAAATTATTTGTAGCATATTTATTTGTGAATTTTAGTCGGAAAAAAATGATTCATACTGGTAAACATTAAAAGTCATGTCCACCTCGAATCTGAGGTAGCTTATTTAACCAAAATGATACTACATTTACTATCCTATGTGCGATCTCCTACCAGGTCCAACAGAAAATCTTCGACGTGTCCAACCTGGCTTCCGACATGGATAACCAACTATCGGAATGTATGTCTGATCTCCAACCTAGAAATAGACGGCACCATTTCCAGTGACAAATATCAAATTCTATCTTGAACTTTATATTAAGTCTGAGCTACACTTAAGTGTCGAAGAGTTTGCCTTCGATCATCTGTTCAAGGCAAATCAACTCCCTCACGTGGTCAACCTTAACTATGTCATACCTCGATCCCTTTTTTGCATAAACAAACTATAGTGAAGTTGACAATATATAAGGGAAAAAAACTTGCATACATATATATAACGACGGGGTTGACTTAGCATTAATTATAACAAATGATTGCATAACCCATCTCCCCACTAAATTTTTAAAATAAAAAAAGTTAGAACAGACTATTATTTTACATTAATTAATTAAGTAACATACCTTTCCATGGATTATGGACTATATAGTTTTTATATTAAAATGACTCGTATTGATAACTAAACTCAAAATCCATAAAACCCCAAATCTCAAACTCTTATTTTAGTCCTTACTAAAAAGTTATAATTAAAATATAGAAAAAAATTTCCAACCAAAAGTAACAGAAAAAGAAAAACAAAACAAAATATATATTAAAAAGAGGAAGATGATATCCCCACAAATACGTGGGGATCAGATTTCATTTCATGTCGATCCAAAATCTTGCCAGGCTGTTAATAAATTATTGGTTTTATTCAATTTTCTCACGTTTTTTTTTTCAGGTGCAATATTTGGAGTGCTGATTTTAACTTATGACTTTTAGTCATATATATATATATATATAGTCAATATATTTTTAGTATATTATCTTCGATAGAAAATTAGAAGTGCGGAAATTTATTAGACAGTTTTTTAAGTTCAAAGAATTTATTAGACTCAAATTTTTAAAGTCCAACAATTTATTTAAAGTTACTAACACAATTTTATAAACATATTAGATACATTAAATTTTAGGTACTTTTCAAAGTTAGGAATTATAGTTTTATTGGAGTTGTTATTTTGATCTCCTCCCTTTTTAGTTTTCTATTTCTTAAAATTAATTTATTTGCTATATTTTCACATTTCTTATAAATGCATTAGAAATTTTAGCTAAATTTAAAAAACAATAATAATTTAGATTTTAAAAATATTTTTAAAATTAAATAACAAAACAAAGAAACGGTTAATAAAATTATGAAAGCAGTGTTTATATGCTTAATTTTTAAATAAAAAATAAAATGATTGGTTAATAATCTAAATATGTTTTTACTAAATGTGAAAAACATGCCAAAAACTATAGAAAATAAACATACTTTTAAAAAAAATACGAGATTAAACAAAATAGTTATCTATTGTCGCGGGGCATTTGAGGCTAAATTTGTAATTCAACATTTATTTGTTAGTGTATTTGGCAACGTGTGTTACTGTTTAATAGATTTCAATTTTACACGTAAGAGAGAGAATATGTTATTACAATATATATCAATTTTTATATGTACGACTCCAGGTTTTCTTCATAGTCTTATCCACAAAAAATAATAATAATAATTAATAAATAAATAAAAATAAAAATATCTCTCTGTATTATTCGACCCATCAAAGAACGACCACTTGTAAAGTCTTGTCTTTTCATTAATGGTAAATAAAAATATATCAAATTCTCATTTTAATTTTTATATTTTACTATAATTCCATTTGGACATTTTAAATAACAATTTTTTTATTTGTCAAAGTGAGTATAATTCGTAATTGACTTATATCTCTTAAAAATATTCTTATAATTATAGCGGATGAAAAATTGTTCTTACTAATTATTCTAAATAGAAATGTGTCGATATATAATTCATTATTATTTGATTAAAAAAACAATTATCACTAAATATCGTAACAATAAAATACTTCACGCAAGGTTGTTGTAATAAATTTTATATTAAAATTTTAATTGTTGTAATTTTATTTTAATTATTTAGTATTTGTTAATATTAAATAAATTTTTATAATAATAAATATCTACGGTCAAAAAAAATAGATGAAGAACTAATATTATGACACATTTGTAAGTAGCTTAATAATAAAGATATATATATTAATATTACGATTTCAAATAGTTTTAGTAAACATCAATAGATTTTTTATCTCGATTTGTTAGGAAATGAATCTAACAAATACTTATAATATTTTGTTGTTACTTCTCTCATTGTCTATTAACTTTGAGGTGAAACTCATCAATATTGATATGGTATCAGAGCTTAATAAATTCAAATAAGTATTCGGTAAAAAAATAAGATATGGTCAAGATTGGCGAGTCCAAAATAACTACCAACTTGATAGGCGTATTAAGGATCCTACATTGAAAATAGTATGACTGCTCCTCCAATTGCAATTGATTTTGAAATAAAATCATGAATAATGATATGATATCATAGTATTTATAGTACGCAATATAAAATAAATAATATTAACATTCCAATTGATTTAGAAAGGTAGGGATTCGAACTCAGAACTTATTAGTTAAATATATGAGGTAATTTTCTTGTTAGAGAGACAATGACTAGTCTTAATAATTAAATTTTGTTTTTACTTACAGATATATGAGGGCTTGAACCTGGATCTTGAGTATCAACACCTAAGCTTCTTGCCACACCCGAAGGTGCATAATTAAAATTTGTTCATCGTTCAATTTTTGTAATACATGACAACAACTGGCAGAGCCACGTTGCGCTCGGGGGCCTACCAACTTCTTTATTATTATTATTATTATTATTATTATTATTATTATTATTATTATTATTTTTATATAAACCATGTTTAAAAAAAAAACTAAAATCGATAACTATTATCTATTAACAAATGTCAAATACGAAGTATTTAATTATTTAATTTACGGCTAATATTTATTAATTTTGTAATTTTGACATTTTGTTATGATTTCCTTTTCAATGTTGGTATATTCCTTTTATTTATATTAAATATCGACACAAATGAATATTACAAAAACTAGAAAATTACCACAATTGCAAAGAAAATAAACTTAATTGCGTTTAAGTCCTCTCCGACAAAAAAAAAATCTGCATCTATCCTACATAGTAGATATTCGAATTTCTAAATCTAAATTAAGAGTCAAATTGAACATAGTTTAATAGATTAAAAATATATTTTTGATCAAAAGTTCACGAGTTCAAATTCACACCTCCAGATGACTTAAAAAAAAAAGTGAAACTTTTAAGCCACTTGTTCAAAAAAAATTATTTGCCTTATTTTTTCATTTTCTTTCTTTTTGTTTTTGTTTCCATGGCCAAGAAGAGAAAGATATGCGATCGAAGAAATAAATAACCAAAAAATAAAAACTAAAAAACAGAGAGAGAGAAAAATAAAAAATAAAAAATCACGTTTCAGCAACACAACACCATTGGAAATGGAGGTCCAGTCTCCTTTTGCGTCTATAAATAAGCCGTTTCCCGTTCGTCCTCTCAACGAAAGCCGCTTAGATTATCATTTCCTCCCCAATTATCCGTTTCTCCCAATTGGGTTTTGGGTGGAGAGAATCAATCATCTTCCTCTGCATTTTGATTTGGGAAGTTTTCTGTGGAAGTCTCTGGGCTTTGGGAGAAACAGTAAAAGACCACAAGAGCGAAAGAGCGACAGATTTCTCTTCTGGGTCTCTTCACTGCGGTCTCCTTCTCTGTGGGGCTTTACTGATCTTAAACGTGCCGGCGATTGAAGTACGAAATCAATTGCACGCGTTTGATTGGGAGGAAAGAGAGGGAATCGGTGATTGGGGCGGATTTCCTGGTGATTTAGTCTTCTGGACGGCGGCGGCGGCGGTGGCGGCGGAGCTCTGTTGTGGAAGAGACGAATAGTTTTGTATATCTTGAAATCATTGTAGATGGTTCTCCTCGGTTCCATCTTCTCAATTAGCAGGGATGTAGCTGGAGTCGCCGGTACGCCTCTCTCTCTCTCTCTCTCTCTCTCTCTCTCTCTCTCTCTCTCTCTCTCTCTCCCCTATTAAATTCAACCATTAATGGCTTGAGAAGTTCGTTTTCTTGGCGAGTAACATGGGAGAAAATGGATCTTCCCTTCAATCTTGGAATTCCCTTTTGAACATTTTGCTACTGAATCAACGGTTGAAATTATGTATCAAAATTGGAGCTCATGTGTTCGAACTTTTGCTTTTAAAGTAATACTAATTTGTTGCTTCGAATATACCCTAATCCGTCGGCTTATTTGACGGCAAACTTCTTGCTTTTTGTTATAGTTCATTCAACTCTAATGGTTGTTCTTTTCCCCTGTATTTTCTTTCTTCAAATCAAGCTAACGAATCCCATTTCACCGTATCCATTTTGATGAGGAGAACATTAGTCTAATGATTAGCAGCAAATTAAGATGTCATGAACTGTTTGTATCTTTAATGAACCATTTAGGGAATTCTGGAAGAATACTGGACAAAATACCTAGTTTGATCTCCCACCCCCAATTGTTGAACTCAAATAAAGAAAAAAACCTAGGAAAATGATTTGAGAAATTTTATATTTAGTTTTTTTTTTTCTTTTTCCTGATGACAAATTGACAATTATTTGCAGGGCACATCTTTGCTTTTGGGCTTTTCTTATCACCCTTGTAAGTTTTATCCATGGTACCTGTCTGTTCAACTTCTACAAGACTTTCTGAATGAATTAATAGAGGTAGAATCTAAATATTCACCATTCCTTGTTTCGCTTTCTTTGGGATTGATTTACAGAGATACGTTTAGGCGTGTTATTAGAAACCGAACAACAGAACAGTTTTCGGGGTTGCCATATATATACGCTCTCTTAAACTGCCTCATTTGCCTCTGGTATGGCTCGCCCCTCATTTCTCCAAGCAACATTATGGTCATGACGGTCAATTCGATCGGTGCGGTTTTTCAGTTAGTCTACATCATCCTCTTCATAACCTATGCTGAAAAGGATAAAAAGGTGGATTGCTTGTTTGTCTATATGTTGTGATACTCGTCCTTGTGATGAAGTTTGTGAAATATCTTTATTTAGTGAACTCTTTCTTCATGTTTGTATCAGATGAAAATGCTGGGATTGTTGCTTGCAGTCTTTGGCTTTTTTATAGTCATTGTTGCTGGGAGCTTACAAATAGCTGACCTCCCGTTGCGACAAACTATTGTTGGGCTTTTGAGTTGCGCATCTCTCATATCGATGTTCGCTTCTCCGTTGTTTATAATAGTAAGTCTATTGTGTTTAGCTTCTTTTGTACCCTTTTTTTGCTTTTTGTATGATGTTTTAAAGGTTGACTTCTGCTCACCTCTCTCAGAATTTGGTGATTCGAACGAAGAGTGTCGAGTTTATGCCATTTTATCTGTCCCTTGCAACCTTCCTCGTGAGCACATCTTTCTTCCTCTATGGACTGTTCAATTACGACCCGTTCATATATGTAAGCATTTTCCCATCCATTTCCTACATTCGTCGTGCAATTTATTCGATCGAGTTCGGGACATGAATAAGTATTTTGTTGTCAAACTTCAGGCCCCAAATGGGATAGGAGCTGTGTTGGGGATAGTACAATTGGTGTTGTACTTCTACTACAGTCAAGTTTCTACAGAGGAGTCTAGAGAACCTTTAATCGTATCGTATGCGTGAATACACGCATTATAACAATAAGGTACCAAATCCATGTACTTTTTCGTGTAATCTTGTTACCCACAGGGCTTGACGATCTAGTTTTTCGGTTTTTGGTTTTTGGTGTGGCGAATGGGACGATAACCAATCTGAAGTTTTTCCATTTTCTGCTGCAGGAACCATAGATTTTGGAGGGCTGTTGTTCTGGCTACTGTGTTTGTTAGAAACTTACTTTCTCCCATTCATTTCTCCAGTTTAATTGATTGGTTTGTTTTTTAGTTGTCAATCAGTTAAATGGTGTATTTTTATACAACCAATCCCAAGATTCTCATTAGTGAAGAATGTTGTAATATTTTCCAGCCTTATTGATCGAAAAGCTTTGTTCTATGGCTGCTGCTGCTGCTCTCTATTTATGATTTGATTGCAAGCTGTTTGGATTTGTTAGAGTATTGTTTTAGATGAAGAACCTTAATAAAGGAAATAGGCCACTCTGGTATCTTATTCTTCTTCCGAAAACTTTGGCGTTCACCGTTAAGATCGTGCTCGAACTCAGTCGACTTTTGTTGGTTCATTTTTGATATATATGGTAAGAGTGTGCTCGAATTCAATCGACTTTTGTTGGTTCATTTTTGACAATTATATTGATCCACAATGATGGACCGTATACCAAAGTCATACGTACTAGTTTGTAGTCGATTTTTAAATTGATGTGTATGTGTTTGTCTCGTGAATTTGATTTGTATACTCTAGTATTTAGAAAGTCAAAACCGGTAAACCGAACATGTACAACATAAACTCAAGTTTATTCTTTTGCACAATCCAATCATATGTATTTCATAAAAGATTTCCATAAAAGGAGACGATATCAGAGTAGATCCTTCAACCTTGTCTTCACTACTATGGCTTCTCCTTCCTACATGTATTTCGTAAAAAAATACAACATAATGAGTATGTTTAATGTATATTTTTTAAATCTTTAACCAAAATTTGAAAACTAAGCAATAAAATGATAAATTTTCAAGATTTTAGAATTCAACTATAATTTTTAAAGTGTGTTGAAAAAATATTAACATTTTAAAAGAAAATGTAAATATAAACGTTGCCCATTATTGGATCGATTGGTTTTTTTTAATTCATTTTTTTATATATATATGTTGGATAAGATTATTGTAAGTACAATTACCGTTATTGTTCCACTAGAATTGGATAAGATTGTTAGAAATATATGATAATTTGGAGTTTTGCTTTTAACATATGATATAAGGTCCTCATTGATGAATAAAATAATTTCTATCCATATGAAAATGATGGATGCAAAATATAATTTTGCTTTTCAAATTCCACTTCCATTTTTAAACTAAAATAACATTTTGATAATCATTTTCTTTATTCTATAAAAAAATTAATTATAAAATAGTCACTTTTTAAAATGACGGGAATCAAATAAATATATTGAACATATAAGAACTAAAATTAACCAATCTTGAAAATGTATGTACTAAAATAAACATTTTAAAAGTGTAAAGACTAAAATAACACGAACCAAAATAGTATTTTAACATTTAAAATAATTGGTCAAAGTTTTTAAACCTACGATCTTTCAAGTTATTTTAAATCATATATCACTGGTGAAAAAAAACAATAAAATTCTTATAAAAAACAATTAAAAAAATATGAGGAAAATTCAAATTTACCTACATATTTTAAATTCATCAAATTAGACCATATAACTGGATAATTGTTGGAATTGTTACCTTCAATACCTTGTTTGAGATGTGTTGGAAATAATATTTTCAGCACATTAACGATATGTTTGGTATTGTTCCTTTTTTTTTTTTTTAATGATTCTATCTTTATTGAAAAATCTGTCTTTCGACCATTATTTTTAAAAAAAATTATGGAAATTTTAAAAACATCGAAGAGAGAAATATATCAATATATTAATTACGATTGAGTTACAGTGTGATTTGAAATTTAGAAAATTATTAGTTTGAAAATTTAATTTATTTTTAAAGAAAACAACAAAAATCTAAAAAAATAATTTCTGAACGACTTACGAAGCAGCACCTTGTGAGCGCCTTCCATGGCGGTGGCGGCAATGGAATCGTGCAGCAATCTTCCCCTTTGGTCGTACAGAATAAGCCCACTGTACTTGAGCATCTCGCATTTCTCCCCCATTAAAATCGGCCTCTGCCACACCGCCGCCGTCGAATTCCGGCTTCCGAACCCTAATTCCTCTTCCCCTCCCAACAGCCGCACCGGCGTCTCTCCTCCGCCTCCGCCTCCTCCGCCCCACCGCGCCCACCCGCTCCGTCGCCGGCCTCTCTTCTTCACCCACGCCGTCGCGCAGAGCCCGGCCACGGCGGCCGCCGCGAATGTGAAGAGAATTAGGGCTTGCTTCGTGGAGAGCCTCAATTTGTCTTCCAAGTTCCACAGAGCTTCCATGGCTGAGGTTGCGGAGTCGGAATTGAGATCGGTTTATATAATTGAACTGAGTGTGGAGTGTTTTTCCGCCATGTGAGGACCACCGCTGGTCTCGCCGAGTGTTGAAGACGACTCACGGGCTTTTGAAGGTTGTCATAAAAAAGGTAATAATGATTACTATTCTATAGTTTCAATTTTGGGAAATTATATTGGTATCAAATAAATATGTATTGAATATCATTACTTTTTTGAGTTTTATGCAAAAAAAAAAATAATAATAATTTTAGTTGTTTTAAACTCAATGCTATAAATATATATATATATTTTTTCCTTTATGTTGTTTTTTAATTCTCTCTTTAAATTTCTCATTTTCTATCCATTTTCATTTTCACACCTAAAAATTATTTACAGTTAAAATATTATTTTAGTCCATATAATTTAAGTTTTGATTTATTTCGATCTTTATATTTTATATTTTAGATCCATTAAGAATAAACCTTTAGAACGTAGTCATATTAAAGTAAGACCAATATTAAAAATATAAGAACCATAGTGAATATTTTGGAAAAATATAATTGAAACAAAAAGTATATAAAACATAGTAGATAATATTTATACCAAACCTTAAAATTGGTGTCTGTCTTGAATAATACCACATCACAAAAATCAGGCAAATGTTTTAATCTAGGAAGTGGACATATCTTAATTACTGAGCTATGTATATATTTGCTTATGTTTAGTTTTTTTAATTTTCCAAATGCATTTATGTAGGCATTTTAATCAAATAAATCAAATATTTTAATCAACATATTTGTCTATATACTTAAAATTTTTATAATAAAGTATTTAAAACTAAACTTAAATTGGTCATTTATTCATATAAGATAAGTACAATCGTCATAATTATATAGAGCATATCCACTCATGTGTGATATTGCATTAATTCCTTACAACAACTTATTAGATAATTAAGTTCGTACAATATATCGGTTGAGGTAAGGAAAATACAGTTTACCCATAAATATGATATGATATATCAAATTTTATGTACAAATGGTCAATTTAATTGAATTGAATAACTTAAACAAATATCAAATTTTGTAGCTTTATCAATTTCGTATCGAACATATGTTTTATAATTTATTGAATGCAGTGTTCAAAAATAATTTTTTTTTCAAATGGAATGCATATGAAAATACTTTTTTTTTTTTACTATTATTCAAACGAAATTAATATTTGAATATTTATCCAAATCTTACAATATATTTTTAAGTGTAAGATAAAAATTGTGTCTAAGATGTAATTTGATAAAATTAAAAGATAAAAGAGTAAAAACGGATAAAATTAACAAGCTCTTGGCGCGTGGGCGTCTGCTTATTTTCTTTGACTGGTCAACCCTATTTAAAGAAGTTGATTTCTTCGTTTCCAAACCGGCGGTAAAACGAACAAAAAAGAAAAGGGCGGAAAAAGGAAACCCTGCTACGAACTAGGGTTTTTTTTTGTTCTTCTAATTTTCACTTCAATTCAAGGGATGATAATTCCCTAATTTTCCTTTTCCCGAGTTCTTCTATCCTCCTACTAATCCACTCTCCGTTGGTTCCTCCTCTGCCAGAAGGTTAGTAGCTGGATTTCGATCCATCGCGTAGTTCCATTTGTCATCGTATTCGTGTACAATGAAACCTGTTCGTGTTAAATAATGATTTTTCAGTTCGTATTCGGCATGGCTCGGCTGATGGGAAGCTTAACTTATCGAATTCTTCGGGGGTGTATGACATTCCGACTGTTTCGCACGGAGCGGCTTTCCCGACAGCAGACAGAAAGTTGGCTTCTTTATGGTTATCATAGTGCTACTACCGATAAATTTAGGACGGGGGAAGAAATGGAAATATAGTTTTGGTTTTTGGGTCTTCGTAGATATCGAATACGTCCTCTGATATGATTGGGTGACTGGGTCTGATTAACAATCTTTCATACTGGCGGTTGTTTTTCTTCTTGTGCTTAAATGCTTGGGTTTCTGTAGGCTTAAATAGGTTTCCAGATTCTTTATATCGTTGATTGGCTTCTTATTTATCTCGGGTAGTTATAATTAAGTACGTCGCCTCTTTCTTGAGCCATTCTTCGTCTGCTTGCTTTCTTTCTTCTTCCTCTTTTGATGCAAGGTTACACGTGGTATATGAACGCTATTTTTAGTTTATTTATTGATTTTTCATTAAGTCGTTATTTTGTTATTTCTTTCATAGATTATGTCTGGAAGAAACCGTGGACCGCCTGTCCCACTAAATGGCGTGCCTCATGGTGGACTACCACCAGTTCGTGAACCTCCTTTTGGCAGAGGCCTTGGGCCAATGCCACATCCAGCGCTTCTCGAGGAAATCAGAGAAACACAGTATGGAATGCATCCAGGACCCCTTCCTCCACACCCTGTAATTATAGAGGAGCGTCTTGCTGCCCAGCATCAAGATATTCAAGGTCTTCTTCTTGACAACCAGAGACTAGCTGCAACCCATGTTGCACTTAAGCAGGAACTAGAAGCAGCCCAGCATGAGCTACAACGCATGGCTCATATTGCTGATTCCTTACATGCAGAAAGGGACATTCAGATGAGAGAATTGTATGAAAAATCAGTAAGACTAGAGGTAGATCTGCGTGGAGTTGAGACTATGCGGGCGGAGCTTCTTCAAGTTCATTCTGATGTCAAGGAATTAACTGCTTCAAGGCAGGACCTCACAGGTCAAGCACAAGCAATGACACAAGATCTAACTAGAATTACTGCTGATTTGCAGCAAGTCCCGGCTTTGAGGGCAGAAATTGAAACTGTAAAGCAGGAATTACATCGTGCCAGGTATTTTATTTATTCTTTTGGATTCTAAACATCAATGGTGATATCAAGTGTTGTTTGGTTTTTTGTAATTGCTGATTTGCGTGTTTGATGTTTTGCATATCAAGAGTTGCCATTGAGTATGAAAAGAAGGGATATGCAGAGAATTATGAACATGGCCAGGTAATGGAGAAGAAACTGGTTTCAATGGCCAGGGAGTTGGAGAAACTTCGAGCTGAGGTTGCTAATTCGGAGAAGAGAGCTCATGCTTCTGCTGTTGCTGTTGGAAATGCTGGTATGCACATTATTTTGAGCTCCAAATGGCTTCTATGTTTTAATTTAAGATCATATTATATATTATTTGGGGCTGTTCATTCTCTTTCTATCAACTGAGAGAATGTGCACATTGGAGGGGTAGACCAGTGGTCCACTCTTTACGGCAAAAGAAAATTGTAGTTTAAAGAAACTTTTTTGGATAAGAAGTAGTTTAAAGAAACTTCCCAATAAGTGAACGAAGATAAAATGATAGTTGCAATTCAATGTGCTGCGTACCTTTTAGAAGGTAACCATAGGATAATCCATGTTATTCACACGTCAGATACTTAAACCTGCCTAGATCTCAGCTCATGTTCAAATTATCACCGTGAAAAACAATTGATCTAGGAAACACGGACACACATTTTTGGGCGAAGTATCTGTGTCGGACACGTGTCCGACACGGATACGCCCGGACACGTATCAGACACGCATTT